CCCCAAAACCCCAAAACCCCAAAACCCCATCATATATTAATAATAAAATTTTAGAGTTAATTAAATTACAATAAAATAACTTCAATCTAAAATAATGCTATCACCTGCAAGAGCATCCAAATAAAGACTGTATAATGATACACATCTGAAATACGATTCTAACAAGAGTAAAATTATGGATTAAATATCACCTGAAGAAATATCTCAAAAGATACCGATGAAAACGCAATCGTAGATCTATTTCAAGAAGTAGAAAGATTAAATAAATGGGAAAGTTATATTTTCTATAGGGAAAAAATCTCCATTCTTAATTAGGAATAAAAGAATACTTGAAATGTCTAAAAATCAGGCTCCAAAGACTGAATAAGATATTAAGCAATAGTTAGATACAATGATTGATTCTACCAAAATAATGCAATCTCAGGAAAGAATAAGAGACATTATTTCAAGAAATGTAGGAAATAGAGATAATAAGACAATGCAAGACTTTAATCCAAGCAAAAAGTTTTAGTCTTACGATTGTAGTCCAATATCTAACCAAAAACATGGCAAGAAAAATGGAAGAGAGCAGCTCAATAGAACTAATACCTAGAGGAGACTGAATAAAAAATCTTATAACCAACAAGAGTTTCAAGCAGAAATTTTACACAATGAAAATTAATCTAGCTCGTTAACTAATTCTCTTAGTAAAGAAGTTCTTAAAGAAAATCTTCATCAGATAGTTTTGAATTGCTTTAGTCTTGAAAAATCGTCTAAAAGAGAAAAATCAGAATTGAATAGAAGTGGAGACAGATTCAATAATTTTTATTAGGAATACAAAAGGTTTGTTGATTTCAAATAAGAAGCAGGTTGGTATGATAACTAAAATCCAGCTAAGGAAACTATATATGATCCAAAATTCAAACTTCCTAATCTGAGTTAAGTTAAAAGTCTTTCTAGATTATCAACAAATCCTTTCAAAAATGAGATTGGTCTTCAAATTAAGTAAGAAAAATTGGATCCCACTGAGGAGGAAGATATAGTTTTGTAAAAAAGACAAAGAGTAAAAGCATATTTCATGCGATCGGATCTTACAACAGCAGAAAATTACTTCAACATTATGAAAATGAAGACCTTTGAGGTTAACCACAACTCAGTATATAACTTCCATCATCAAGCAATAAAGGAATTCAATCATAGTTAGAGCGACCCGAAACTGATAAACTTCACCAAATAAAAACCTTTCCCTATGAAGAAGAAAAATTTGCTTGACAAAATTTGAATGAATTTTAGTATTTAATTAAACATATAGTTCAATTTAATCACTCTTTATTCAACTATTGTTTAAATTTAATCAGGGGTTTTGGGGTTTTGGGGTTTTGGGGTTTTGGGG